CTTCTCCTCGCAGAGGTTCTACCAAGAAGAAGAAACCCTTGAGCTTAACTGAGTGGAGACTTGGAGGCTCCCAAAAGATTGATAGAGCACAGTTCGAAGAAATTCAACAGAAGATGACCCCAACTCAAAGACAGAATCTCTATCTTGACAGAGATGGTCATATAAGGGTCAGACATGGTGGTTCCTTGGAAGAGGCTGAATATTGGTTCCACAAGAGAGTACTCCCAGGCAAGGATGTACATGAAGGAGTACTTCACTATCTGAATTGCAAGCTCTCCCCCATTTGGGCCTCATGTCAAGCACCAGGAAATCTGGCTGGCATAAGAGAAGAAGTGAATGCTGAACTGAAGAATCTGAAGGAACAAGATCGCAGAACCAGAGCTGAAGCTGAAAGGGAAAATCTGTAATTCCTTTTAAACTTCTCTTAATACTCTTGATCTAATAAAAGCTTATCTCTGCTCCTTCTAAAGTCTCTTTGCTTCTTTACTCTTTGTTACTTACTATTTCATTCTGTACTTGTTTCTTTTTGAACTGCTATCTGAATGTATCGTACTCTTACTATTCTCCTATGCCAAGTTGCCCACCAAAATTTTAATGAAAAGTTTTAAACTTTAAATTTTTGTGGTGAAGGCACTTCTCTGGAAATAGTTAAAGGGTTTTGGCATCATCAAAAAGGGGGAAATTGTAAGGAATAATTGTATTTAGATTTTGATGATGCTATATTAATTAGGACTGTAGAGTACCCCTTTAGAAATTATGTATTAGAATTTTCCCTTGTAAAGTTCTTAGCATATTCGACTACCAGAAGGCCTCTCTACCAGAAGTCCTCCAGACAGAAGATTTTGGTTCTCTGTGTAGGAACAGAAAACCTCAGGGTCTCTGTTACCCTTTAGCTTGACAGAAACCCTATTGGTCCTCTGTAAGCTACTATCAACAGAAGTGCTCAAGATCTTCTCTGAATCAGTTCTCTGCCAATGACACCAGAAGGTTTGACACTTGGAAGAAATCCACAAAGCCGGGAAGTCAACTTAAAGATTCCTTCAACGGCTAGGAGTATGAAACGGAAAAGCTACAGTGCTCGCATTAAATGCTCATTTAATGCTCCCCATGCTCCGTGGAGTAATTGCAGATGATTGGCCGCAATGTCAGGATTACTTTATCCCAAAATAGTAACCCGCCAACTTTACCGGGTCCTACTGGTCAAGTCAACTGCTCGCACATTAAATGCAGTTGTCCTCCTACTCCTCCAACGGGAAGACAACCTCAGTATAAAAGATACACTACGAAGAACAACCGGATAAGTTTGCTACAACTTTGAAATAACTTTTCCAAGATAACATTGCAACTTTTGCTAACCACAATCAAGATATTCAAACTCTGAAAAGCAAAAAGCCTCCTTGAGATTCAAACTCATTATCCTCTACAAGAGAAGGCAGAAGTTGGAAAAATACTCTTTCCAACTCAAGCAAAGTTCCAAGTGTTCTTCAACTCTTCAAGCTCATCACATACAAATCTTTTGTAACGAAGCTAGTTGGAGGAACCCCTGTTTCAACAGAAACTCTTCTTGCTACAAGAAGGACGTCCGAATAACTGGAGTAGTGAAGTGGTGATACTTCAAGGAAACTCAGTGAAAGGACCAGTGTTAAAGGAAGCCAGGCAGTGCATCCCAGGACACATCTAGGCTTGAAGAAGACGTGGAGTGCTTCTTAAGTACTAGGACTAAGGCTTTGTAAACGGCAGTTTTTACAACTTAGTGGAACAGTGGATTAGAGGAACGAGTTGTTCCTTGAACCACTATAAAAATCCCTGGTGTCGTTTACTTACTGCTTTTAATACTTGCACTTAGTTAGAACTGTATAACTCCTTGGAATTGGTATCTGTGTTCAGCAGAACTTGTTCTACGAGTTAACAGAAGGCCTACTGCCTATTGCTTCTCTGAGGCTAACAGAACTCCCTACCAGAACCCCATCCGCTGCCAGTCTGTTCTTCCAACAGAACAGGCTATCCTGTAAATCTGGTACTTAGTTTAAAAAGCTAAAAACCAATACAGTCTATTCACCCCCCCTCTAGACTCTATCCAGTATAACCGGGACCAACAAAGTGTCCTGTTCTTTCTTTCAACAACTCCGTTCTGTTGGGGAGTTTTGGCTGCGGCAAATTGCTGAATGATACCGAGAGATTCATAGAAATCAGTGAGGGTTTGATTCTTGAACTCGGTACCGTTGTCAGGTCTGGTTATTCGAACATTGTGCTGTAGCAGATTTTGGATGGTTCTGATGAAGGTCATAATGATTTCCGCTGCCTCGTCCTTTGTACAAAGAAATTTCGTCCATGTGTACCTTGAGAAGTCATCAACGATCACGAGTGTGTATTTGCGACCATTGATGCTTTGAACTCTCATAGGTCCACAAAGATCCATGTGAATCAGCTGCAGCGGATGAGTAGATGATGGAACTGGTTTTGACTTGTGGGAGCTTCGCGTCATTTTGCCCATTTTGCAGGCACTACAATGATTTTCAGCGGAAGACTTCAACAGAGGAAGCCCCTTCACAAGTTTCTTGGAGGATAGGATGGAAAGATTCTTGAAATTCATATGGGAAAGACGTCTGTGCCATAGGTTGTTTTGTTCTGTTGAAGCTTTGGACATCAGACAGATGGAAGTGTACACTTTTCAGATCAATCGTGTACATGTTTGATGTCCTGTAACACGTTAATAATAAGTTCCCCACGCTGTCTAGCACACAACATTGTTTGGCAAAGAACCTCACTTCCATCCCGCTGTCATAGAATTGTCCTATGCTTAGTAAGTTGTGTTTGAGCCCTTTGACATATGAAACAACTTTTATAGTGACACTGGCACAGATGACATCCCCATATCCAAGAATAAGAGAGGAGGCGTCGTTCCCGAATCTGACATTGCCTCCGTAGCAGTTGGTGAAGTTGCTCAACAGATGTTTGATCCCGGTCATGTGGGTTGAGCATCCAGAATCCAAGTGCCACACATGACCATCCTGCAAAACAATTAAACAAGTTTAGGTACCCGCCTTGGGATGGGTCCTTCCTTATCAATAGAAAACACCTTTCTAAACTTTGCTTTCAGCTGTGTTCCAAGGTCAGCAGCTTTTTCACCAAAAGATTTTTCTTTTGCGGGCTCTCTAATAGACAGATCTTCCTTTGCAGTGGGTCTATTTTTGGGACCCACTTTGCAGTTTCAGTTTTAGTAGGTCCATTTTGGGGACCCACTTTGCATTTTCAGTTGTGGTGGGTCTGTTTTTGGGGACCCACCTTGCATTTTCAATTGCGGTGGGTCTCTCTTTGGGGACCCACCTTGCATTTTCAGTTGTGGTGGGTCTGTTTTTGGGGACCCACCTTTGATTGAGTTTGGGAGGAGAGTAGATATGAGCTTTGTGATTGAATGGTTGTTTCTTGAGGTGAGTTTTAAAAATTTCCTCCTTTGAAAGCCTATTAAGATGTTTCCCCGAATGAACTCTGAGGGGATATTTCATATGAGGTATGCAAAATATTCCCTTAGAAGTTTTATTCTTGGTTTCCTTTCTTGGTATGGACTTTCTTTGAGGTTTGACTTTAACAACATTCACATCACATTCATAATTATGAGGATCTGGAACAGAATAGCCATAAGCAATACTAGAATTATGAAGAGAACATTGTCCAAAAGATGTCACAGAATGTTTCAGCTTGGGACTCAAGACTGAACTGCTAGAAGTTGGTTTGATAGTGACAGAGTTACAATTAACTTTATAATACAAAATAGAGCTGGATCTAGAGGCAGTCTTATTCTCAGAAACTTTCTTCTTCCCTTCAGCGATTTCTTTTCTTTTCTTCCTCCACTCTTCCTTCCCTTCTCCCTTCTTTTTCACTTCTTGTCCTGTGAACAAAGGAGAAGAGCGATGAGTGGATGATTTTGTGAAAAACTTAGTTTTGTCAGGAGAGGTGTGAGCATCCTTTAACGCAATATTAATTAGAAATGGGTTGAGAAGTTGTTGTTGAATGATATTGTTCACTCAGTTCATTGAACTTATTAAGAAGTTCCTCCCAGTTACTCTCCAAACCTTTCTTTTCAGTCTCAAATCTCTCTCTTTCATTGTCTAGAGTTTTCTGAAGATCTTTGAGTTTTTGAGCCATTGGAAAGATACGGGGTTCCTCTCCAATATTTGAAATACCTACCATAGGAGGTGGGTCTAAAGGATGTCCCAGGTGTGGTACATCCTTCGCATAAGGATCCAGACACTCATTAGTACAAAAACTTTGGCCTTCACCTGTGAGGCTTTTTTCATTTAAAGTAGGATAATCGCAAGAAATTACAGCCTTTGGATTCTTTCTCATATCTTCTTCTTCTTCAGCATTTTCTTCATCACTTCTAAAATACATTTTCTGACCAAACCCTAGTCCCATGTAATCTTTGTTATAAATATGAAGACAGTCAACTTTCTTTAGATTACACGGGTTAGTTATGCCAAGTCCAATCCTAGGATTGTAGAACCGGTCATCACTTATTGGATTCAGAAAGATTGTTTGTTCTGTCTGTCCTCTCCTGACTATTATATCCTCAAGTTCCTTTATATTGTTTAAAAGGGGTTTTCTTTTGTTTTGAAGAAAATCGCAATCAGCCTTTGCTGTGTTTTTCTCTCTTTCACTATCTTGTAATTTCTTAGTTGTCTCAGCTATTTTAAGTTCAAGACTCATCAAGGTCAATATGTTGCCTCACCTCCTTTACAGTCTTTCTCCATTCGGGGTGCAAACTGGACAGAAATCTTATATTCAATTCCATATTGGACTTGAACACTTTGATCTTCCTCAGTTCATTGATCAGTTGGACAAATATGTTATATGTCTCATTTAGTGGTTGTCACGCCCCAGACCACATCTAAGCGCGTGTACAACCGCCGTGTGATTAAGTGACGTCACTCGCAAGTCAACCTCACATAATCACACAAGGCGTTCATGAACATCGTTCACACCATACTCAGTAGTAAAAATACATAGCAACATCACATCATAGATTGAATGAATAGCGGAAAATATTCAACGATCAATCATAAGCCACATATGGCAAAACGTAGGCTCGCAGGCCAAAACAATGTAATATTACAAAAGTATCCATGAGCATAGTTTATGATTTGAAATAATAAAGGAAGCACGGACCACGTCTTCCTCTAGATTCCTTCCACCCGTGCAAAGGTGTAGACAAAAGGCTCTAGCTCCAACCTGAAATGGTGGGCCCCCTCGAAGGGGTCAGTACAAGTACCGAGCGAGTAGCAAGCTAAATGTAGAGTAACTAACGTTTCAAATATAAGACCCAAACATAGGGTGATACATATACTTATACTTCCTTACCCCAAGTTACAAAATACATATTAGTACTTATATACACTTGGAAATACCCGACCCGTAGGTCATTGTTTAATTGGGAAAAATAATAGTAGTCAATATCCTTGACTTAAAACCCCAACCCACCCATAGACCTATGAGTGTATAGGACTCCTCCTGTCCAAATCAAATAATAATAAGGACACCGTCCGGTCCTGAATTACTAAATAGTAATCTATGAGTTTTGAGGATACACGCCCGATCCTTGGGTACTCCACCCTATATAACCGAGTGTTGAGGATACCGCCCGATCCTTGGGTACTCCACCCTATATAACCGAGTTTTGAGGATACCGCCCGATCCTTGGGTACTCCACCCTATATAACCGAGTTTTGAGGATACCGCCCGATCCTTTGGTACTCCACCCTATATAACCGAGTTTTGAGGATACCGCCCAATCCTTGGGCACTCCACCCGACCTATGATCTACCACATATCATACTAGATAGGGCCTATATCATAATCAATAAACAAGACTAGACCAAGTTGTTAGGAATATTTTATGGTGTCCAATCTAATTAAATATCTTTGTATTTGTGTAGTTATTAATTAAACGTGTAATACGGGCCACAAATGTGTATCAGCCCGTTAGCTTCCTTGTAACTCGTAAGTTAGCCAACTTCTCCTATAAAAGGAGGCTAACTTACGGGAACCCAAACTAACGATTGAGGCTTTAGAGATGCAGAGGCGAGATAGAGAGAGAGTATGATGTCCGCTGTTCTCCTTCTCCAGGGAGAGCATCGGGGTTTCACACGGTATACCAGATTTGGGTTTTCATCTCATAATCTTCTATCTGCTTCTTCATTACTGCTATGGTTGTTTGATTGTTTAGTATTTTGGGTTTATCAATTGGTATCAGAGCTGAGGCGTGAAACAGGTTGAATGTATCTGCGATTTTCTTGGATCTAACGAAGAATGCTCTACTTTTCTTCTCTTTTTCTTCATATAGAGTTTTGCTCCTGTAATCTTGTTTGTGAACGAAAATCTGTAAAAATTACACTGTTGGAATCGCTTTTCAAAACCGATCCAGCAGCATATTCCCTTTTTCGTTTTCTGCAAACTTTAACTTTTTGTAGAACTCTCATGGTATTTCGAGTTTATGATTTTACACTGCTGCAGAAACGATTTTGACTTGAAACAGATACAGGAGGGATCACGACCTTCAGGGCTATTCAGAACAGTTTTCAGATTCTCAAAATTCGACAGTTTTTAAAATCGAGAGTTTTAAACTCGCGGGCATGAACTCGAGTTTGTAAACTCGCGGTCATGAACTCGAGTTTGTAAACTCGCGGTCATCGACTCGAGTTTGTAAACTCGCGGTCATCGACTCGAGTTTGTAAACTCGCGGTCATCGACTCGAGTTTGTAAACTCGCGGTCATCGACTCGAGTTTGTAAACTCGCGGTCATCGACTCGAGTTTGTAAACTCGCGGTAATGAACTCGAGTTTGTAAACTCGCGGTCATGAACTCGAGTTTGTAAACTCGCGGTAATGAACTCGAGTTTGTAAACTCGCGGTCATGAACTCGAGTTTGTAAACTCGCGGTCATGAACTCGAGTTCTTAAACTCGCGGTCATGAACTCGAGTTCTTAAACTCGCGGTCATGAACTCGAGTTTGTAAACTCGCGGTCATGAACTCGAGTTTTAAACCTCGAGCTCTGACCTCGAGTTTTTAAACCTCGAGTTCTGACCTAGAGTTTCTAAACCTCGAGTTCTTACCTCGACTTTTAAACCTCGAGTTTTTAAAATTTGAGAGTTTTGGAATTGCGAGTTTTGAAATTTATTTCGAGTTTTAGGAACTCGATGTTTTGAATTTCGACATTCTGAAAAATTTCAGAATTTTCGGAATTTCTCGATGTTTTGAATGTTTCAAAGTTTGCAGTTTCATGGAACTCATAATTCGAATCTTGACATCCTTTGCAGTTCATCGAAGCTTTACATTATAGATTTCTGAATGATTCCATGTTTATCAAAGTTTTAGAAGTTTTCGATGTTCTGATGTTTTTCAAACAACAAGTTTTCGATATTATGAGGTTTTTCGAAACTCCAAAGTTTTCGATGTTCCAAACATTTTGAAATTCTGAAGATTTCGTGATTCTGAGGTCTGTTTTGCAGGTGGATTTCGCCATTACTCTTCAAGGCAAACTTGAAATTAAAATCTCGTGATTAGGATTTTGAGTTTTTGCCTTAGAATTTTGTTTATATTCACCTGCTCTCGAAATTCAACATCGAGAACCTCAACCTCGAAGTTTTTCCTCAAAAACTCAAAATTAGAGATTTTCTGCGACACCGCACTGTTTTGGCCATAACTTTTGACTCAGTGATCCGATTTGAGCAAACTTTTTTTTGTTGGAAAGCTAACGAAAAGATCTACATTAAGTCTCGGTCTATGACCCAGAACCCTTTCTCATGCGCCCTCACTCACAGTCCTTGAAGGTCAAAACGTTAGTTTTCCAACAAACATTGTAAATCACCGATTTCAGGTCAAAACTTAGGCAAATTTGTTCAAATTCTTTCAAAGTCAAACCTGAGGTCAAACAGTTTGTAAACCTAACTGTAAAGGTCCAAAAATCGTAGATATATCAATCAACCTCGCGTCAACGGTCATCTTACAGCAATCAACAATCAACTACTGAAGCCTCCCCTAACTCATCAACATTATGTGATCCTCAATATGCTGAAATTCTACATGATGAGCTACGGGAAAACTGTCATGTGTGGTACCTTGTTCAGATTGCTCCACACACATGGCGGGGATAACAAGCTATGAGCAATCAAAACTTGCACAGTCTGAGGGGGAGTTTCAGTTTTCTCCTCCTGGCGCCTTACATCGACAAAGCAAGGAATCTCTCAAAGGATGCAACATTTTAGGGGGAGGTTTCAATGATATCCTCCCCGGCGTCAAACAATGACAAAGCATACCGAGTGCTCCAGTTGAGGAGGAGTACAGAGAGAAAATCAATGAGAGAACATGTTCCTATGGCTTAGTAAACCCAACTAAGCCTACCCAAAGGACAAAGCCGAGAGTAAGTGAGTGAGTGAGTGAGTGACTAATCATTATGAGAGTTAGGAAGCAGAAGGCTCAAGTGAGAAGGAAAACAAAAATCAATGATGAGTCTGCTACCTCAACTGCGTGCTATGTATTGAATATTTACTCCTAGCCACTCAAATACTCTGGACAATTCCCAAATAGGTTTAGGACTGATTCAATCAGATCCCGGGTAGAAGTCACTGCATCTTGTCCAACAGTGCATGCTTAACCCTACCCAAGACCACTCACCTGTCTCCCAACAGACAGGTGTTTAATCATATTTCACGGAGAACCGCATCTCTCATTACTGTCTCCTTCTGAGGCAACTGATACTGACTACAGTGGTCTTGGCCCCATGCCACTGAACTTTCATTGATCACGTCGTGTCTAGTTTCCTCACTCCCAAATGTTTTGAAATTTTCTAGGACACAGACGCACTTTTTGAGTCAGTTGCAGGTCTACATGACCCGCGAGAACTTCCATAGGGCTCATCTATTACAGATGCAGACCAACGATTGGAAGGAAGTCCTGCTGATGCAACATAAAAATCACCATCATTTTCAGGCCATTGCTTTGAAGTTTATCTCTATAGTGATGAAAAGGGGTGTCTACACGACCCCGGGGGGCTACGTTATCTTCTTCAGATTCTACTTAATTTTCCTGTTTTTTTTTTTCGCAGAATAAAAGAATAAAGGCATGACGCCCCGATTCATCGGATCGTCATGAGGGGGAGAGTGGTCCACAAGCTGTTAACTCTCAAAAAATCATTCTGGGACACTTCTCTCCTCCAACACTCTCTCTACTATCTCCGCAACTCAAATGGCCAGCTACGCTCACAAGTCAATCATCATTATGTTCCACTGTGCCACCAACAAGTTCTCCTCAAATGCATTCATTCCGAATAGTCAAAAAGACTACATTGTGGAGGGGACAAAGGTCAGATACTCAAATGGTTGAATATGAATTCCATGGGCGTCTCCTATTCTCCAAAGAATATTCATTCTATAGGCGTCACCGGACTTCATCCAAGCTGATCAAGAGCAACTTCTGAAAGGCAAGGACTACATGCAAGATACTGAAGATCCCTCAACCCCCGACATCAAAGAACAAATTTCCAAAAAGACATCAAAGGGGAGGTTGCAAGGATTTCTTCAGAACGCCTTCTCAAGAAGTCAAGTTCAAAGACAAAGGAAGCTGAATAACAACAAAGACAAATATATATGCGCTGCAATGCTGATTCAACACGATTGAACACCAAGGGGGAGATTGTTAGGAATATTTTATGGTGTCCAATCTAATTAAATATCTTTGTATTTGTGTAGTTATTAATTAAACGTGTAATACGGGCCACAAATGTGTATCAGCCCGTTAGCTTCCTTGTAACCCGTAAGTTAGCCAACTTCTCCTATAAAAGGAGGCTAACTTAGGGGAACCCGAACTAACGATTGAGGCTTTAGAGACGCAGAGGCGAGATAGAGAGAGAGAGAGTAGGGTTTCCGCTGCTTTCCTTCTCTAGGGAGAGCAACGGGGTTTCACACGGTATACCAGATTTGCTTTTTCATCTCATAATCTTCTATCTGCTTCTTCATTACTGCTATGGTTGTTTGATTGTTTAGTATTTTGGGTTTATCACAAGTCTTAAGGCCTAAACAAAATCATCCATGCAACTCATGTATTAAAATTAGCATATAGGTAAAGTAAGGCCAAACCGGCGCCGGTCAACTCTCGGTTGACCCGCCATTCCAAATCCAATGTGTGTCAAACTTAGTCACAATATGTACTAAGTTATAAATAACTATTTTATGCAC